TCTTGCTGGTAATCGATTGTGCGACAGCCGACACTGTCAATTGCACCAGGCATAACGGACTTTGCCTTTGAGACGTCACGTACCTTGTCTCAGTTACACCAAGACACAACAGACCGTGTCCAGCAACAAAACATACCTTGTCATTGCATCTTAGGCACGTAACGAACCTTGTTGCCACCCACGCCAGGCATAACAGACCTTGCTGCACACAATGTCACAGGACAACGTCCGTATCACAAGAGGCCGCTCGCATCAGGTCTCAGAGGATGGCGCTGCAGTTGGGCAAGGCTCCCCTTCTGCGCCACCGCTTACTGGCCTAGCTAGCGCATCAACCAACATTGGAAGCCAGGGTCAGCAGACTCTGCAAGAAGAATTGCTCGCCACCTCGCTCAATGCACTGAAGCTGTCTATTGAGCAACAGCACGCAAAAGAAGTTCAACGTTACGAACAAGAGAACAAGGAGCTGCGCAGCTCTATCAATCGACTAGAGAAGCTACTTGAGCAATCAATGGCTATGAGAGAGCCGGACACAAGAACGCCACAAGAGAGGCGCACACCAGCTGGACATTGCACCGCCAGCCCAGCACAACGCACAACACCTGAGTCAGATGACTCCAGCAACAAGACCCGTCTCCGTGTTGAAGACTTTCCCAAATACAATGGCTCAGCTAAGGGCAAGAACGATGTTGATACATGGCTTGAAGAAGTCACAGCAATTTTTGAATTCTCTGGGGCCAGGGAGTCACAGTTCCTCAAGCTCATTCCACGTCTACTTGAGCACGGCGCTTGCGACTGGTTTGTTGACCTCAAGGACCAGCGCTATGAGATGCACACCTGGGGTGACTGGCAAGAAGCATTCCGCCTTGCCTTCCGGGCTCCAAACTACCTGGACGGCGTCCATTTAGAGCTCTCACGCCGCTGCCTCAGACCTGATGAACCATTTGCATCATACTTCAGGGACAAGCTCAACCTTGTCAACAAGCGCTATGGATCTGGCATTGAGACCTCAACCAAGATTGAGGAGATCATCTTTGGGATGCCTACAGCCATGCACCCATTCATCCGCACTGCCCGCACGCCAGACATGACATTGGAGGAGTTCCGTCGCCTCCTCATGGAGCTGGAGGATGGTCTGCGCGCCAACAGCTTTGGATCAAGGCGCAGCGACCGACAACAGTACACTGACAACAACAACCGCCGCTATGTACCAAATGAGCGGGCTTATCCACCTCGCAATCATACCTGGGCGCGCCACACAGCCTCTCCATTGCCACTGCGGCAACAGGAAGTACCCCAACGTGACACAACGCCACGACCCTTTGCGCCAAGGACTCCAGCTGCAACGCCAGCTCCCCGCTATGCTGGTGTCGCCGCCACCTGCTACCGTTGCGGCAAAGTAGGACACATCTCTCGTAACTGCCCATTGCTACCCCAACAAGGCCCAACCAGCAATGCGGCAGTAACGCACGCCCTTTGAGCTTGACCTGGGGTATCATCCAGCGTCACCATTGCAACCCATTGGTCAAGCCAACAATGGTGCAATTGATGCGCCGTCTGGTGCGCATCAATTGCAACACAAGACCTATGAGCAACCAGTGCTCTGCCCAGAAAATGAATGTTGTCATTAGAACCACTGCGCCTTTCCCATCAGACCACCAAGTCCCAAACACAAGAATCACCTTAGAAACTTTTGCTCGAACCTCTCAGTCAATCTTATAGTCGCTGGGGCAGCGACTTTGTTTGAAGGGGGGGTATTGTAACGGACGCTGCAACAGCACCAAGCTCATCACAAAGACAAGGCCAGACCCACCTCTGCAACACGTACCATCACACACAACAACACATGTCTTTGCTGTGTATTTGCCATACTCCGTGCGCTCTCTATAGTCGTCGATGCTCCTCTGCTATACACAGACAAGCGTCAACAAAAGGTATATAAGGAGGCCTTCATCCGGCCTCCTCCTCTCTCGAATTCATGCTTCTTACCACCACCTTCTCCTACGACTACCTCGTCTGAACAACGCTCGCTCAACGACTGGCCTGATCACCCAGCC